GGATCAAGGCAGGACTGCTGGGAGTCGAAAGGAGCACAATGGTTCACCAAACGGCCGACGGAGGGCAGGTATCTGACGATGGAGGGAGCAGGGTTGGGACCCGCGCGATGACTCGCTCCGAACCGATCGAGCGCGCTGAATTGTCACGAGTCAAGAACGTCATTGGTGATGTTTACGATTCTTGGATCGAGATATGCGCTTGGCTGGCCGCACGCCAGCAGACGTACGAGTCTCGCGATTCCTCGTGATGGTGAATGATATCTACAAGGAGAATGATTCAGATTCGTGAGACGAAGAACAGCACGCCTGCACGCGCAGCTGTTGCAGCCACGTGGGAAGAGATCTGCTCCGCGCGCCATCACCTGCGTTCCAGAAGCACCCGCGCGCGCGCACTGCTGCCATCATGACCGCCGCGTGTGACGTGGAGCCGCGGCCGCGTGGCTGTGTGTCCTGCTGAGCACGCATCATGCGTGCATGCATGCAGCACGAGTGCGGGCGGTGGGGCGACGTGGAAGCCCAGATCGCGCGCACACTCCCCTTTCCCCAGCGCTCTCTCCCTCTCCCCGACCTCTCACCCACCCCCCACGACTCAGCGCTTCGACAGGCGCAAGGCCGCCACGTCATCGACCTCTTCTCACGCACTTTCACTGACTGCTACGCCATACTAAGACGACTTGACGACTCAACCCAGGCTCTTCTTCTTCTTTCTCTTCTTCTTCTTTTGCTTCTTTCGTTCGGCCTGCCATATCGGTGATCCATCCAACAGATCTTGATCGCCTACACGCAAGTCCGACATCAGCTCGAAGCTTTTTATCTTTTACGCACAGTCACCTCTTTGACTCGCACACGGACCTTGCACTGTCAAGAGTCAGCACTGCACACGCTCGCCTCTCCGACCAAGCAGCGTACACAGGTCACGCACACCATGGCTTCCACATCACCAGACCTCCGCTCTCCAGCCATGTTCAGCGCTTCGACGCTTGCATCGCCCTCGCCTTCAGCGTCCATTTCAATCGCATCGGCATCGGCAACATCATCCTCTTCCACCAAGAGGAAAGCGGACAGTCAAGGTCCCAAGCCCATGGACCCGGCCCGTCGAGCACGCTTGGAAGCTCGTCAAGCTCGCAATCGAACCAGCGCTCAAATCTCGCGCAATCGCAAAAAGGCTCACGTGGAGATGCTGGAAGTGGAAGTGGAAGAATTGCGAAAGCGCAATGCCGAGCTGGAAGAGCGAGCCAAGGATGCGGAGGACACGAAACAGAGGTTAAAGGTGCTGGAACAGCTGGTTCAAGCGCTCTTCAGCAATTCCCCCGTCAACGCCGCGCTTCGATCGACACGGTCCATCATCGATGCCCCTCTTGGCTGCGCGCAGTCTTCTACGGCCCAACCTCTACCGCAAACCTGCGTGCCTGATGGTCTGGTCGCACCGTCCAGCATTCAGCTCGATTCATCTCACCCTTCCCTCGCGCCATCCCTCCACGCGGCGGCCCCCTCGTCGTCATCGTCCACATCAAGCATCTTGCCATCCCTCCTGGCAGCGTCACCATCTTCGCGATCCACCCTCAACTTCGTCTTGCCCTCTAACACGTCCTCGACGTCCAATCTGCCCAGCACAATCTTCGCATCTTCGACCCTCTCCACCTCTTCACCAACATCGTCACCCTCCCTCTGCCAACCTCGGCCCAGCGCAGCGCCCATCTCTCCTTCATCTCCCTCGCACGCTTTGACCGCTCCTTCGCCCGAATCCATCTCTCACTCGCAAACATCCCCAGACGTTCGCCTCCCTGCAGCGGAGGCGTCTCCCCTTGTGGGAGCCCTGCAGCGGACGTGCGGAAAGAGTTTGACGAGATGGACGAGGATAGAGAGAGCAGGGACGCGAAGTCGAGGAGAGCAAAAGGGGAGGTACATGGCAGCAGCCTGGAATTGGGATCGGCAAAAGGAGGATGCTTTGATGATGAGCAGGCGGAAAAGAGCTCGATCGTGCGTGGTTGCGCGAAGCAGACCGGATGGCCAGGCAAGGTGTGCGGCGGCGGTGTGGGGCACGACACCGCTGTCGGATTGCACGAGACGCTCTTTGGATCCTCTGAAGCCCATCGACTCGGATCCAACGCGGAGGAGGACGAGAAGGATCACTTTGAAATTCAGGCTGAGGGTGCGCAACAAGCGTCCGAAAGCTCCGAAGAGATGATAAACGGCGCATCGACTTGGAAGTGTCGGAGCATGCAAGGTCAACAAGAGACGGACAGGCTATTGGCGCTGCTGGGTTTGAGCCCTGGCGCCGCTTGCGGGGTCGATACGAGCACAAGGACATCGACGAGCGCCTTTGGTGCGCTGGACGCGGATGGATATGTGGATTTTAGCATGAATCTGGATGTGGATGCGGATGCGCTGCATGGGCTTTTCGGAGATGCCGCGCACGAAACTCGAGATGGAGCGTTTCAGCTGGGCTCTGCTGCGGACCTCTCCTCGGAGCCCGCTGCTATGCAAGACGTTTGCAGCGGCAACGAGCTCGGACTGACGCTTGGCTCGCTCGCTTCTCTATGAAGCATACTAGTCCTTTCGATGGGGCAAAGCGCGTTACTCGAGCCCAGACGTTGTGGCGATGGGGGATCATCTTCAAGGCTTGTCCACCGTGTACATGCATTTCCAGGCTCTACCTTTTCCGGTCCACCGTTTCGTTCTCTTTTCCCCCTCGTGATTTGCCTCTTGCTCGCCTCGTCACTTTCAATGCGATGCCCTTTTTTGTCCCCCACCCCAGAGCATCGCAGCACGCGCGTCGAAACGTGCCGCTGGGTGTCGTGCGTGCACTGCGATCGATGCGGATGTGCGACGGACGTGTGTATTTGTTGTGCGCTTGCGCCGATGGTGTGCAGTGCCGGGGGGCGGGGGAAACAGAT